TGCTTTTTAATTCACTTGCTATGTGGCCCCCTCTGACTGCCTGTTGAAAGGGTGCTGGCCTTCACTGCGCTTAACTGAGATTCACTTTATTGTTGTTTTTACGGACTGGGTTTATAATGGACGGCAGGACTTAGTCACTGAGCCTCAGACTGAATGTCCCTGCAGGCCCAATTTGAGAAGCATGTGACTTTTGTGTTGTTATGTTGTTACGGGCGATCGCGGGGAGTGTTCACAGGAAATACTGTTTAATGCAACATTTCATGAAGTAGTCATGCTTTCTTTTTTTTTCGTTATCCAAAGACCTGCTGCGCATATCGTATTGTTGTTTTAAAGATGCCTCATTTCCAGTGCATGGCTTCGGCTCGGCTCCACTCGCCTCACTTTTGCTACCGGGTCCTTTTCTCTATTTCTTTTTCCACTGCAGATAGTCACCCCGCAGGCTATTTGGGATTGTCAGCTGATCATCAGAGAGACACTTTCTGAATCCTTACATCGGCAACAAACGTCTGCACGTCGTCAATTGCACGACATAATGTATGCCGTATAGTTTTGCAGGCTGCCACTCTTTAATCATCTGGGTGCAAAATATCCACAACTTTTGCTTTTGACCTTCGATTAGCTGCAGACACCAAAATAATAACCTAGTTTGGTGAATATAAACATGATTTTAATCTTTGTCAGGAAATAAAAGGTGTCCCAAGTTCAACACCTTTCCTGATTTAGATCCAGAAATACCAAATCAAAGGTTTAAAAGTTTTAAAAAACACTTTGATACCCGATACGGACACATTCTGGTCGGTTCTCAAATAGTATTGAGGTTTAGTGCCCATCCACAGAAAATACTTTTGTTAAACTTCCTCTCCTGCCTGACCCGCCCGCTCTGCCATGTCAAAATGTTTGTACCGATGTGGATTGTGTGTCGGCGTTGTGCTGGCAGCGCTGTGGAGTTATGTGATATGCAGTTTAGAGTGGCAGGGAGAACTTATATCACCTGGTTTATGAGATACCATTTAGCATGTTGAACACCTTGTCAGAGCCCTGAGGGGGGGGGGTGTGTGTGTGTGTGTGTGTTTCGCAGCAAGAACACTCAAAGAACAAAAGGATCCTTTGAGAGCAGAATTTCAGAGGAAGCTGTCAAACGTGTCCATTCTTCTCTAAGCCGGTGTTTGGGATTATCCTGGGCTGTTGTGGAATGCTGTTCAACACACAGACGGACACACTCACAATGCGATGTCAGTCACTCGCATGTACATAAATCCATACACTCTCCCTACGCTCTCGTCAAACGGCCGTGGATGTAAACGGTCTGTGTGATACAGGCAGTGGTCGTCCCGCCTCTTCTGTCCGAACGTATTCTACATGCAAACACAAATGACAATGCCCTGCAAAAATACGGACAGTTGTCTGATTCTAACATATAAATAAAGGTTGGATTTAAAAATGTTTGTATTTGGGTGCAGCAGCTGCCCGGGTTTGAATGCGATCCGCGGCCCTTTTGCTGCACGTCACCCCCCCTCTTTCCTTTCTTCAGCTGCACTATTGAATAAAGGAGAAAAAATAAAGTTGTGTTTTCATATCCCTGTGGAGGTGCACATAACACTTAAATCCCGTAAAAGGACGAAACCATGATGAGAACAACAACGGGGCCAAAAACTGATGATGTTGAAAGACCAAAATATGCTGAAAGACGGCGTCGCTCTGTTTTTGCACTGCAGCTCACAATTGTGACACATTGAGAATTTTAGGTGACGTGTTTTTCAAAACAACGATGCTTGAATTCGTCTTTGCCGAGATCAAATTGCGCCGGATAAGTTACCGTGCACAATTGTTTTATTTTGTGTTTTAGTTTAGCCAAACAAGGTGAAATGAACCACCATAGACGAGTTCAGATTGTAGACAGAAGGAAACGAGCAGTTGAAACTATTACAGCGGCTGCACTTCACTGGTAAACTTGACCGTGAACAACACACAAATATCTCTGCTTTCAGTCTAAACACACTTCTCTGCCACCTAATGTCTGTGTCATATGTCATATGTCATAATTTTGGTAAACGATATTTTGCCTTGTTCACCCCAACATGCAACACCAACGTTTTTTTACGTACAGCACATCCCCTTTGGACCACATAATTGTTTTCAGGTATGAAAAGTTGAGTGTCGATGGAAAGCCCGATGGAGAGAATGGGTCTTCTATAATTGTAAATAAATTAGATGTTAAATAAACATCTACAATGGGAGGAGGTTATCTGGCCTCAGTGCGGTATCTGCTCTGGGGCCGATGTCATTCTGGAGTCGTAATTTCAATACTATTTGCCTAATCTCGGTACAAGATGGCTGCAGATGATTGCCAGTGCATCCGGGAAGTATAGTGGCCTTGATAGATGTGGGTCCTAAAAGAGCAGCCGATAACGCCAACTTGTGACGTACATGAGCGGGGCCGCGTTTGAGCCTCGAGTGTGACGTTGCGTCGTGATGCATGAATGTCTTGTATCGCAAGCTCGTGAGTGCAGCTCATTAATCTCAGTATCGGTGGTATGAGTCGGGGCTGGCAGGCCCGGAGCTGCTTCGGCTCCAATTCGAGGCTTCCCTCTGATCCACGCCAAAATAAGAGCACTCTTCTTCTTATTTTTCAAGCTTTATTATTCTTGTCTGGCAGCTGTGCTAGCATGTTGTGGAACAGTCCTGAGTACCTCTTGAGCTGCTAATGATGTGGAAAAGCCGGCTCTGGTCGAGGTCTGCAGTGGGGAAGACATGGAACCTGCAGCTTCTCCAAAACTCCAAAACCATCAGGGCACATGTTGAGCTCTGTGAGAATACAAATGTCTGTTGAAATGAATCAGACGGACACAAGTGGCTTTAAGTGATAACATATTAAAGGTGGCCAATCTATTTATGCTCTATAGAGTTTAAACTTACTTAACTTTGTTTCTATTTATGCAGGAATGTGAATGAATCCTGGCATGAGTGGGATTTTTATGGTTTAAAGTAAAAGGGGATTTGTCATATGTTTGCGTTTGTGAGTGAGTCATAAAGTGTGTGTGTGTGTGTGTGTGTGTGTGAAACCCCGGGGTTAATGGCATTAGCAGGCTGTGATTGGGGCTGATGGCTTTCTGCGACCATAATAGCAGCTCTATTAAGTGTTTACCTTGAGCCATTCCACATGTCAGCTGTAGTCAAGCAGCCAGAGACGGAGGACCGGGGGGGGGGGGGCTACAACAGCCTGGGACGCTGGGGGGGAGGCGAGACACAGAGCGGGGGGGGATGGAGGGGGTCAGTTGGCTGCAGAGGAAGGAGGTCCAGATAAGTCATGGTGGTTTGGAGAGTGGCCTGATGTATTTTCTATACCAGGAAACATCCCCCTTGTCTTCAAGCAAGAACATACTTATGTGTTTTTTTTATTCGGAGATGCAGCGTGTGGGAAGAATTCATCTTCAGGCATTGATAAAGTATGACATTCTGTTACATTCACATTAGCAGATGTTGGGCATAAGCAACACAGAGTTCAGGGCCTGGAACAGTAGTTTTGCAGCCATTGGTATCACAGTGGTGAGAGTGCACTGTGTGACCTATACACAAGTATTCTGAGTCAGCAGACTGCCTTTGGTTTGCCCCAGGGATTTTCCCGCAGTCTCGTAGCTTTGGTTGTGCTCTATCTGTACTCTATCCGACAGGGGCATATGGAAAGGATTAGATTAAATATAATACACCGGTAGAGAAAAAAAACGAAGTGGCACCACAGCTGAATACTGAAGCCATGAAAACTTCTACTGGATTAAAGTCACTGTTTTTTATGTAGCCTCAAAGTCGCTGATTTGTGAAGAGTTGCTACTTTTTTTGTGACTGCCGTTTAACATGTTTTATTTTGAAAATGACTCAGGAGATATAAAAGCTATAGACGGGTATGTTACGGCAGGTTTCAGCAGATGACAGCTAGGGATGGGGTTTGATGGCATTTTATCATGTGTTGTTATTCTTTAGGCTGTTTTTGACTAATTTTGTGTTCAGACTCTATTCCTTAATGTGTGTTACATGTTTTATGGGTTTTTACATTTTGAGAACATGGTTGGAAATGAGTGTTGTCACTTTATCATCATATCCCTTTGATTGATGTATTTTTGTAGATTAATAATCAAATCAACAAACAACAAAACTGAAGTGAAAGATGGATATATTACCACAGCATTTAGTCCTGAACGATGAAATAAACTTTACTAGATGGCCAGTACGGATAATCTTCTAGCATGGTATGTATATTTTTGTACAATAATTACAATGGATATAAAACATGTTCTCAAAGGTTTTGGATAACAAATGCAGGCGGGAATGTATTTTTGACTAATTAAGTATCTGAGAGAAGATACTTGTTGGTGTAAAAATCCTGCAAATACAATCATTCAAAACAATTTCTAGCGGTATATTACGTCATATTGCCCAACGAAAAAAGTAAAGAAGACATTTCAACAAAGCTAAACAAGTCCAGACATTTTACCAACTGACCAGATCTAAACAGTTTCCAGTTTCCAAATGTTCTGCTCCCCGGTTGTCAAACTGACAAAGATGGCAAAGAGAGGTTATGCTAAGTATGTATTTCAAAAGCATTCCAATCGGAAACTTACAATGTCACAGATATTCTATACAGCCATGTTATTTCTGCAGTCTCTGAACAAAACACGGCATTTGAACTTTGGTCACCAGGTTTTCCCCTCGTGTGTCAGAAAATATAATTCAGGTAAAGGGGTCGCGGGTGGCTGCAGGGGTCAGTATCTGTCTCTGAGCTGGAGTCGAGTGTGGCGTGTGTGATGGGGGTCATCCTGTGGCCATGTGAACAGGAAGGTGCGGGTTCAGTGTGAAGGGCTGAACCTCCGAGCTGTTTATCAGATAGCTAATGAAGCAGAGCAATCCAGAGAGAGAGAGAGAGAGAGAGAGAGAGAGAGAGAGAGAGAGAGAGACGCAGGGAGGGAGGAGGGGCATCTGAGGGGGAAAGGAAGGAGAAAGGGGCCTAAAAGTGAAAAATGGAGGAAGAGTGGCCTGAAAAAGGAGTGAGAAAAAGATGAGTTAAATGTGGGAATACCCGCAGTGGAGCCAGCACTCTCCCCTTAGCTGTTATTAGAAGAAGAATGCACCACAGTCTCCCATGATTTCACTGAGCTTTATTCCCACTACAACGAGCAGAAAAGTACCCATCATATTATTTATCACATTTCCTGGTTAAGAATTGGGCCGTATCACTCAGCTCCAGCCGTAAACATTTTCTCTGGCTGCGAGAGAAGCCGAGCTGCGTTCCCAACTCCCGTCATCGCAGCCATCCAGTTTACTGCAGGCCACACATTCATCAGTGTGGCCCGCGGGGAAGAGGGAAAGAGCCTGCTCCATTACCAGTTCAAATAATCCGACAGTCAAGACGATCAAAACAGTGTAACAGTGTCGATGTCTCGCGTTTCCACCGATAATTAATCCTGCTCATACTGAGAAGGAAAAGGTCCGGTTATTTTAAAATGGCGTGATGTGAATCGGCCTCTGATTAAATTCTCAGGTTAGATCTATGATCTGTATTCTTTATGATTTCTTAAATATTGTAATGTGTCAGGCTGCAAGTAGTGATTATTTTTATTATTGATGAATTCTTTATTTTTTTAATTCTTGTATCTAGAAAGTTACCATCAAAATACAAAAGAAATCTTGTTTCGTCTGGCCAAACATCCAAAACTAAAAGATATTCCATTTACAATGAGAGATATATATATATATATCGACAGAGTTGTGACTATTAGCTCTCTGCTTCGTTTGTTTTCATCTCAAATGAAGCATTTTGAAGTAACTGAATGCTGTCAGTGCATTAACCAGCTAATTCATTTATTGTTTTGGGACTAGTGCTGACGTACCGTCCTACAATGCTGCTCTGTTTTATCATTCACGGGGAAAAAGGTTCCCTGTGCAGTTTCACAACTCATGTAGCGCTATGGAGGCCTTTTTTTCTATGAGTGGGTCCCGGTTTTGTTTCTCTGAAGCACATGCTAGGATGTACATGATATTGGAAATGTCAAAATGTGGGAACAATTGTGAGCACAGATTGTAATGGAGCTCTGGTCGTGGAAAATTGAACATGCATTGAACATGCTTCGATTAATTTGTTCTGCTGTCAGTCCGACACCGAGGTGCTATTATTGGCTCATGCAGCAGTGTGAGAATCTGGTGTGTTCATCAGGGGCCAGAGGGCGAGGGGTCATGCTCAGGGGAGCCATCAGTGTTGAGCGGCCAGCTGACCCTGAACGATCCTGAGATAGGATGGCCTCGCCCCCCCGAGGAGGAGCATTCCTTGCTGCTAGTGTGTGTGTGTGCGTGTCTCAGAGCAGGCATGCGCTTATACTATACCACAATCGGTACATACAGTACTTAAAGGTAACGCAAAAACAAGCATTCAATTTGCTGTGTATATTTATGGCGTTCATAGCATTCATGCCAATATTTTGGCGACGCCTGACGTTTCCTCTTGCACCACTTCTAATATCTATATCTAATGGGGAGTTTGCATTGCAATTTAATGAATACATTCATGCTCTCAAGTGGATAAACCCTTTGCAGAATCAGTTTCGTGCATTTCTTTTGTGCGTGGTGTGAGCGACATTGAAGCTTATATGAATTGCTCCTGGGAAGTTTGGTTTTTAGTATTTTTTTTCTGTGTGTTTCTGCAAAAGACACACCTATGCACAACAATACACAACTACTACAGAGGGAACCCATAATCTGCTAAATGTGCGGAGGGAGACAGCCAGTCTCTGCTCTGTCCAACTGTATCACATAAAACATCCTGATGGGGCCGGATGGGACACATACACACACATGGAAAACACACACACACACACACTATTCAATGCAAAACCAAGTAGAGCACATAAACTGCGCTGATGTGATCCTCTGAGAGCGAGACAGGCAAAGTGTTTAAGTAACCTCTGTAGAGTCGGAGAGGAAACCAACTCCACACCTTCTCCACCTTTCTGCTGTGGAGAACAGACAGCAGCTGAGTGGCTGGACTCATGTACAATAGGCCGGAGCAGAGCTCCTGGTGAAAGGTGTCACTTACCTTCTTGGGAGTTTTGATGTTCACCCAAACTGAAAAGCACCTCTTGCATTCATCTCTTCATCAAGTCAGCTCACTAAATCCATTTTTAATTTAACCGTTCCTCTTTATAGTATTTAAAAACTGAAAACCATGCACAAAAATGTTGGTTCTTTATGTCGACATTTTTCGTGCACTAAGGAGTTGCCAATATCAGTTACTGCTGTAACTGTGTCACAACCAAAGCGTTAGGACGGAGCCATCGACAGGATTTGTTTGTCAGTTTCATGATCATCATGAGTTATGGACTCGTCTTGTTTGAGATATTAAAGGGAGGCACTGAGGAGCTACAATATGTTGACATTTTAAACACAAATCCATTGGAAAATAAACTAGCTTTTGATTTCAACACGCGTTGGTTTCTTTGTTGCTGTTCTTGTAGCTCAAATAGTTTACCAGAAAATATTTAAGAACTTCAATCTACCAGCAGAATCAATAAATCAAAACCATACCCTCATTTACTGTATGTAACACTTTAAACATGTGCAGTTATGAGCATTTTCCTGTCTGTCTGTCTGTCTGTCTGTCTCTGTGTCCCCTCCGAGTCTCCTCTAATCAGGCTAGACGTGCCAGAGGTCAGCAGCTCTGACCTGCTGGCTCTGGTTCACCATAAATATTATGGGACCGAGAACAGGCACTCTCGCTGGACGTTTAATATAGCGCTGGGTCCATTAAGGGATTCAGACTATCAGCTTTCACTGGGATATATCGGCTAATGATAATACTGCCTGCCTGCACCGGCCAGTTAGAAATACATGTCAGAACTTGATGCTGCTGTACTTTTATTTCTGGAAGTTTGTCCTCTCTTTTTTTATTAACTTTTGGTGTCGTTTTAAAGCATTGTGTTTGCGTGCATAGGTGCATGCTGTGTGTGCTTTGTGTGTGCCGGCAACACAGTGGGCCTGGGGGAGCCCTCTGTCCTCCTTTCCCACGGTATTTGTCCCATGAGTCCCCTGCGGTGACGTCAGAACAGAGGTACGCGCGAATGCCAACGCTCAGAGGTCGCAGGTTCACTTCCTGTCTGTCAGGACCGAACTGGGCAGGGTCCAGTGTGGAGCGCCGAACTGTCTTTATGATCGCTCAGTGGTTTAACCTCTCTGTCCCTGTCCTGTCTCCGTCTCTTTCAGGCTATGTGGCTGATGCTGCAGCAGGAGGAGCCGGAGGATTACGTCATCGCGACGGGGGAGGTGCACAGCGTGAGGGAGTTTGTGGAGAAGGCCTTCCAACATATGGGGAAGACCATTGTGTGAGTGCCCACAGATACACGTATACGCGTACTTTTTCAGACATTTACATCGATGTTTTGGCTTCCAGCACAAGTCTGATTTGAATGCCGTCACATTAACGTAAAGTTCACAGCATGAACTCACAGAGATACTCTATCCAGAGTTTTTGTCTTCTTAAGAGCGCTTTAATAAATGAATGATGAATAATTATCATTTCTTATTCAAAAGTAAGTAAAATAACCCACATGAGACGAGGCTAGGCAGCAAAACATATACAGCAAAATGCCTCTAACATAGAAAAGTATGCTTTGGTATTGTCCTCCTGTTTGAAATCGGCACCAGAGTTCAATATTCAATGAAATCAATAGACAAATTATTGAGAAAATGTATTTTCGTGGACTGAGAAACCAGCAGGATGGTCATCAGTGAAGCCATCAATGTAACAGGGTCCATGTCTGAAAGAGGCTATATTTTAGAAAACTTCTATCTCCTGTTCAGTGCCACATCTCAGTCCCCTCCTCTGTCTCACCTCTCATTCACCTCCTGGAAGACATTGGCATGTTGGGGAAGGTGTGTGTGTATGACTGCTGTGTTGATTTAAACAAAAACAACTGGACAGGTGGCATTTTTTGTCAGCACGAGACATTAAAGAAACAAACTGCACAAGAAATAATCAGGGAGATGGAGGAAAGGAAAGCTGAACCCTGCAGCAGATGTGGGACAGTGTTGTAAAATGTGTGTGTCTTTCCAGGTGGGAGGGAAAGGATGAGAATGAGATTGGCCGTTGCCAGGAGACGGGAGTGGTCCATGTGAAGGTGGACCCTAAATACTACCGTCCCACCGAAGTGGTAAGTCCGATTTTTCAGAAATGTTTGACTCCAGTGAGCCCACTCACTTCCAGACCACCATGATCTTCACACTTTATACTTTCCTTTGTTCATTTGTAGGAAACAAAGCACTTATTCCTCATGACTTCGGCCAAAGCTAACTTGTCACTTAATTATTGATAACTTGAGAACCATACTGGTGGTTTAGCATGTTTTAGCCATATGTTACACATTATTATTATTGCCGACATTTCCTTTTTCTCTGGAGCACTTGTTTCTGTTTCTTTCTGATCTCTTGCTTGCTGTGCCGTTTATCAGGCAGACTTGCAGACCGTATCAACAAACCACATTCACTGCTGCTGATAATCTGTCATTTATATAGTTCTATAGAATTCATGAAACAGCGTAGCACATATTGTTCCATATACCTGACCTTAACATGAATGTTGCATGTATTCTCTGCATGTATCTGATTGCCGGTCATTGTGTCTGGGACCATACACTTATCAGCTGTAACGGGTCCAGTTGGCAGCCCCCCGACTGCTTATTGTATGCTTTTAAACGAGCCAGTCCGCCTCTTTAAGAGTAATGTAGGCTGCATCCTGCCAGTTGGTGAAGAATGGGGGCTCGTATTCAGGCAAGCAACCTTGACAATTTCTACTTTAATAGCGATGGCGTGTGTTGAATTGAATCCCTCAGCCGGTGAGGGCAATTCTGTGGAATGAGAAGCTGCTTTGAAAGCACTCAAGAAATGTAATGTCTTTTTTTTAATCAGCCAGTGCTTAAGTTTAGAATGGCGGTGAGCATCCAAAACCCCAAAAAAATGAGCCATCATTGTATCCCTCCGTCTCTCCCAAGGCGTGAAGTGTCTCTGATATTTGGGAGGTCTTTCTCTCATCGCTGTGGCCCTGGGGTATTGTGGCTGCTCCCCTGGGGAGGGTGTAGGGTTACCCCGGGGTGTTGTGGCCGAAGATTAGCTGGCAGGTTCTCGGTTTAAAGCCAGCAGCTCCCCTCTGCTGAGCTTTGGCCCGGCGAGATTAGAGCTGAGATGCAGTTGAGTGATGGCGGAGGATTAGCAAGGAGGCCCCTGCTGACTGACTGCCAATGGAAGCACCGGTCACACACCTGGGGCTGTGTTCTTTGTGCGTGTCGGCTCATTCATTCAAGGTCTTAACCAAGAATCTGCACTGAAAACTACTCTAGACACTGGTCCAATGGTGACTTATCAGCAGAGGAGCCGTTTGGTGTCTTTCACAAGAGCTTTTGTGATACAAGAACAAATGGACAATACACTCTTTGGTGCTGATGCCTACCTGACCTAATCAAGCTACCCAAGCAACCCAGTCCATTAATAAAGCTGAAACTAGTTGCAACATCCGCTTACTGACTTAAGCAGCCGATGAAATTTGTGAAGGCAGCTTTGAAAGGATTTGAAGGATTCTGCTCCTCCACATGGTAAAACTAAGTGTTGTCCACAGCACACCTGGTAGACAGATGCATAAGAGAATGAAGTCGTTTAAAAGAAAAGAAATAATTCCTGCACGTTCACTGCAGCACTTAGTTTGTTAGAGCTATAATATCGCTGTCATCGACCTTCATCAGGCATCACAGGTTCTGACTGCCCGAGGTGACGTCTTATTATTTTTGTCCATCAAACAGTCCTCAACCAAAAGATGTTGAATTTACAGTGAAAAGCAACTGTCGGAAGCAGATTTCACATTTGAGAACCTGGAACCAGCAAAAGTTTTCTTGATTTCTGTTTTTTGTAATCTGTTTTTTTTTAAGCTCTCCTTCTATCCGTCAGCCGCTTCATCTATTCTTTGTTAGTTTGCGCTTCACTTTCCAGGTTTCAGTGAATTAGCTGGAACAACCAACAGTTTCTACTGCATTGCCTGTGAGGCTCAGAGGGAACGGGGTAAACATTGCAGGGATAACGAGAGCGAAACGGTTCAATTACAGCAGGCGATTTCTCTGCTCTGTCTCACTGTCTCTTCATTTCTGTAGAAGGGGTTAAATAGACTGAAGAGTGTTTAACCTCTGACCCCTTCAGACAGGAAGTGACTGGCACCGGACTCACAGCTCAGCATTGTGGCTCTCGTGAAGTGGAAATACCTGTCATCGTGCGTGCGTGCGTGCGTGTGCGTGTGTGTGTGTGTGTGTGTGTGTGTGCGTGTGTGTGTGTGTGTGTGTGAGTGAAGTATCCAGCTTACTCGCACCTTTTTGGTTTTGGTTTGCTGTGTTGGTGAAAGAAAATGTGTGTGTCTGTACGTAAGAAGAGTGAGTCCTCAGGTTGTGTGTTAATATATATGTAATTCATCATTATCCCTGTCAGTGTGTGTGTGTTTGACATGAGCTCATTTATCTCCCCAGCCCCTTGGGACAGGGGCAAGCAACCCGGGCGGGGCGAGAGGGGGTTAAATATGCAGGTGTGCTTCATATGTGGTGCGAGTGTGTGTGTGTGTGTGTTTCCTGGAGTATAACCGTGCACTTGTCTTGTGTTTATTTGGGAAACAAAGCCTTCGAGGCTGCAGAGGTGACCGCGAATTTTACCGCTGTGGTTGTGGAAGCTGTTTCCTGGATGCAAAACATGCTCATTAAATAGAGAATAAAATAAACCACAGCCATTGTCTATAGAACGTCAACACGCGGAAACAAAAGATGTTGGTTTTGAAGCTGTCGGGGGTTTTATGACTGTTGCTCTAAAGCTACAGCTAACTGCTCCAACTGTCATGGCTGCAGTTCGTTTCCATTGAATTGGCTTTGTAGAGCTGTCAGTCACACTTGTCAGCCTGTTCTGCCAGCACTGAGGTTTGACTCAGATGAGCGGCCTCTGCCTGATCTTTGCGAAGGTGTGTCACGGCCTTTGCTATGTTGTGATTAGTTTTGGTTGCCAGGTGACATGTAGTGCCGTGGCCAAAGATATTCCTAGTGAGTTCAGGAGGTTTCCTTCGTCTGGTTCACACGGTTGTGTTTAGAACTTGTTGAGAGATTTACAAGGCTGGAACTACAGCAATGCTAAAATTGAATATAGGTACGTGAATTAGTACAGCACAACAGATGAGGTGGAGCTATCTTGTGCTTGAGGGTGTGTGCGTACGTGAGTTGTTCTGCCGGCATATGCCAGAAAGAAGTTAAGTGCAGTTATAGGATCACTGCAGTCATTTTGTACTGCACCGTACATGAAGTCGGGGGATTTACGAGAGTTCAATTTAAAAAAGAAGGATCAAATCTGTTGCAATAGAGCCCAACATGTTGTCGTGTTTAATCCCGATAGGTCAAACACCAAAAATGCTGAATACTACATTTCGTAATGCAGGTTTTTTTAGAGCCCCTCCTCAGACAAAAGTAGGGTGAAAATTACAACTCCCAACATTCCTGGTGCGATTAGAACTGTTACCATCGATACTATAGACATTGGGTCTTTAGTAATGTGTGGTGCAACCCATTATGAGACCTCTGGTGCCCTGAGGCTCACCTTGGAACTCCGTCACCACTCTCTCTGCTTGAAACTCATGCTTCCATTAGCTAGCACTACTTTACAAATCGTACACTGAGGCCATTGTGAAGCACTTGAGACAGTCCGAGTAAACTCAGCTCCATGTACTGTTTATCATATTTCTTTTTGGTTTAGCTCCTGTAGTTTCAAGCTGCACTCAAACATCACTTCCTTTTGCTACTTCAGGTACTTTAATGAGTTCGTTTAGTTTCTGCTGCTGTTGACGTCTTCAGACAAATAGCATCTGGCATTTTAGTTAGACCGTCCCCGCATGGCAAACATCCATGCCTTTCAAACATCATGCCCCTGGTTTGTAATGCAGGTATTGCGCAAAAACATTCTCCCAAGAAAAGTCAGATAACCCTGGTGACATCACCATGACATCATCTGGGCTATTTTATTGTCTGGACTTGTCGAAGCTCCACCAGAGCCACAGAAGATAATTCACGATGACTTGGAAACTGATAAAATAATTGGGGAGCTCCTTAAGTGTAAAAGGAATATTCCAACGTTATCTCCACGCTATAGTTTACTACTTATGAGCTTGTGAAATTTCAGATCATCTCCACGAATCAGAAGTTTCTCTCTTTTCTTTTGTTTAAACTTTAACCTGAATTATTTATTGCAGATCCCAATTTGTCCCAGTTAGCTTTGGAAGCACTGATTGTTCATATAGACTTAGTTTTGGACTGCGGTGATTATGTTTGTGCACCAGTCAGTATGTGCATGTATTTGCGTGTGTCTACGTGCACACACACACTTGCGCGTGTCCGTGCTAATGCAGCCCTGCTGCCATACTTCCAAGTTCACGTGTCGCTGCAGGGGATTAGCTGCTGCGAGTTGAGTGACAGCGCTGCGGTTTGTGTCCGACCTCTCATGCAGAGGAGAAGGAGCAGAAGTGGTGATGAATGGGAAGTTGGCTCTCACTCTGTCTTTATCGCTCTCTGTCCTATCAGGGTTGCACAGAACTCCTCCACTGTCATTTTCTCAGCCCACCTCATCGCCCTCTTGCACTTAATGTCTGCGTCTCAGTCACAGTGATGCAGCAAGCGCTGGTCGGCAACACAGGAATGCCCTTCCAGGCGAGATTATCCTCCTGTCAGAAAAAGCAGACAGACAGGTGCCCCCTTTATCACCTACCACCTACACACTCTGTGGAGACCAGAATCCAAAACGTTGTTTCTTTCATCAGATAGTCACGACTTCGATCAAAATAATAAAGCAACGAAATCAACTGAAACTAATAACATTCTTCTTGTTTTGATCATTTCTTTTAAGAAAGTTACATTTACATCTTTATTTTTGTCTAATCATCATCTTTTTTACGTAATCAGGGCAATTTAGAGTAAAAATAAAAAGTTTGAAAGTAGAAGGAAATGCACATCATTATTTCCCAGGGCCCAAAGTGACATCTTCAAATAAGAAGTTTGACAAATTACTCCAAAGATTAATCGATTCTCAATATTGTTTTTCTTAAGTTAAGCGCCAGTCAGTTAATCAACTACCTCAGCGCAAGATCATCACG